AAGAAAATCAAAAGTTTTCATTATTACCATAATTACTAGCCCACTGCCTGAACTCCGGACAAACATAATGGTAACAATTGAAATCACACTCAATAACAGAAACATTACGTAAAGAAGGAAAAGTAGCCGACAGCACTGGTTTTACTATTTCGAAACTAACATTCCTGCACCGAATGAACTGTAAATCTGTTAATTTTTGACAAGCAGCGATTCCCCACCACGGCAGACAATTAATGAAATCGCATTCGACAAATTTTAGTTCGACAAGTGAATGCGATTGAAGTATCAGCGATTCCAGCATTCGATCGAGAAACGACTCGTATTGTTGCAGTTGAAGTGAAATTAAATTCTTTTGTGAGACGATTACGTTGCTGTAGTCGGTGATGAAACATTTCTTTCCAAGTTTATTCATATTTGCTGAACATTTCATATCAATTTTATCCTAATAAATAATAAAGAGATAATTCAATATATCGATATACGTAGTAAAGAATAGATAAAACCAGATCCGGTATAATCTCACCAAATTTCGTAAACTTCTCGGAATTTGATCCAGAAAAGTTGCATCATCTGCAAAATTACAATCAATTTTGCATCTTTTCACTGTTGCAAGAAATTGATCAAATTCCGGTTCAGCGAGGACCGAATAATATGCATCAGCAAATGAGTATTTGCCAAGTGAACAGTTGACAACGGTGAAATGTGTTGAATGCGATCTGGCGAAAATTCGAAGTAAAGCGCGAGTCACCAAAATGACTTTATTATCAAGTACTCGAGTCATCCAGTTTGAATTACAGAAAGCCCAAGCTGACATTACTAATCTTCCGTAGTCAAGCGTTTTAAGGTAAGCCGGATATGGATATTTTGTTATTGTTTGATAACCTGATTGTATTTTATCCATTCCTTGGATTCCTTGACTTTGCAGATACCTAATTTCATTGTAGTTGAGCATTGAGAGATACAATTCAACTTGCTTCCTTCCTCTTCGTATAAATGGTCTACTATACAAAAATTGAAGTGCAACTTCAGACCAACTTTTTTTGACCATTAAACAATTATATATATCTGATACTGGATTGCTCTTGTTTGTTCCGTTTCCTGGTATCAAGTCCGGAGTATCTTCTTCATCAACAAATAAGTGAAAGAAGATCTCATGCAGTATATCGGGAACTAATTCAGGTGAATTTGTTCGTCGTTTCTTTTCAATCGTTCTTTGTCGTCGTGGCCACAGTATTGATGCGGATAATTGCTGCTGTTTAGCCTGGCCAGCAGTGGTTTGATCATTCCGATGATGACCTTGATAACAGAATGAAGGTGCTATTACTCTATTTAATAGATTCGGAGCAACATGAGAAGCGTGAATATTTATATTACTACTGGTGTTGTTAGAATTCTGCTGATTTGATTGATTCGATGATCGATTTGAATTATGATTACGATTACGATTGTTACGTGATGAAGTGGATGTTGAAGCGGATGTTGGAATGGAGGTTGGAATAGTGGATGCTGGAGTGGATGTTAGAGTTGTGTTGTTAGTGGTGTTAGTTGCAGTCGTAATAGTGCTGGTGGAATCGACTGTGTGATTATCGGTATTTACATTTTTGACTATTAAGAAATATTTCTTAAATCTAGCATTTTGAATTGTCATAAAAAACAAAATTAGAATTCGAATTTAAAATAACATGAGAACTATTTTAATCTAATAAATTTACTTTTTGCTCATTGATTTCGCAACTCGCTTTACTTTTCCTGGTATCATTGTTATTATCTCGTTAACTGCGTAATAGCAATAGTTATGATATCGTTATTATTTTTTTCCAAAACATGGGATGACAAAACTTATCGTTATTTATAAATAAATACAAATTACAATTTCATGTACATGTATTAAATGTATCATCTCATATTGGTATATGTACAAATAATAATAGCGATAGTCTTTATTAAAACACCAAAATCAGAAGAACAAAAATAATTGTGGCACAGGCATTATAAGTTATTGGGTGTGATCTCTCAAACGCTAAACAGAGACCCTTATTTTCTGCTGCTGGAAAATCCGGCCCCTAACAATCTCGATCTGAACTACTGATTGGTCCAGTCTATTCTATTAAGTCCATTACATTTAACTTTATGCCAAAGCACTGCGAAAAAAGTGCAGATCATGTGATTCCGATCCCGATGCTGACCATCCGATATCCTCCTTAAATCAAATCACAAGATCAATGTATATATAACGAAAACAAACGCTTACTTTTGAAAAATAGCTTGTATCCTGAAATTTTACTTATGGAACAATCATTTGTGTTTTAACAAAAAATGTTCCTTGAGAAATTTTATTAGATTACTATGTTCCCTGTTTGCTGTACAATAACCCTATTAATATAATTAAGGGTGATATCGGATAGTCGGCATCGGGATCGGAACCAAATAATCTGCCCTTTTTTTACTAAACAAACCAACAATGACATCATAACTATGAAATTTAAAAGTTATTCGGTTTGGGTAAATCTGAAGTGATTTTTGTATATATATAATCCGAAAATTTTCGGATTGTGATTTTTGCCGAATTTTTCGGATCGGTTTCGAGTTGATCTTCAATCCGAACCGGTAGGTTTCGGGTTATTATTATATATAGAAAAAATAGAGCTATATACGTATATACAATTTTTTCAGAATCATTACTTTGTCCAAACTGAAATGTTCAAAATTAATCAAGAACAATATAATTGTGTCAAAGTTATAATTCTTAATAGGAAATATAAAAAATAGTTCTAATTCAAGTTATAGATCTTATTATTAGCTATAAATTAATATAAGATAATATATATCATCAACCCTTAAAAAATATTCAGATAAAAATCCAGTTTTTTTAGTTCGGAAACCACAGGCAGGTTTAGTTATAAAATTTCCGGAAAAAATGGTGGACGCGATATATCCAAACAAAAAATACGCCATTCGATTCATCTATTCTTGACGAATTGAATAGTGTATATTATCAGTTTTGGTGAATTAAATATCATGTTTCAAAGTTGCTGATTTTTTGAAAAAAATCTTAAAGCATAATATCTCATGACTACTAGATCAAATTTCACCAAAATACAGCTATTATTTCACTAAATCTCAATAACTATGTGACTTTATTTTTATCAGATATTAATCTGAAAATTTTATAAGTAAATCTATGATTTTCCAGTACTAAAAAACTGGATTTTTATGATTATTTTTTATAAAGCAATATTCATATAATGATAAAGACATTAATCAGATGATTTCAGATTAATAGGAAGCTTATTCCCCTCTCTTTCACCTAATTTTTTTGATTAGCTAAGAATTTTTTAATCATCTGATTTTGATTTACATCTGATTTTTGTTCAAAACCCTTCTCTCTTCTAAAAAAAATCACCTGTTTAATATTTCTATCCTAATTAATATTTATAAATAATAAACTTAATCATTTTAATAAACTTTAATTCTTATATAAAACACTCAAATAATTTTAATTAAGTTGTAAATTATATTTTATATGAGTCTTGGGAAAGCTGGAGAGTGTTTAATAACATTATAATAAATTACTTGACCAGAATAATTATATTAAGAATAATAAATAGAAGAGTATAATATAATCAATTCTATATAATGCATTAAGCATTAAACTATGATTATAATAAATCTAAAGGGAGGTAATAATATGTTCATGATATGATCAGCTAAAATGAAACCTGGAATTTTTAATAATAATATTTAATTAAAGAATTTTATGTAATAAATATGTAATTTCATTATAAGCTTATAATTTAATAATAATAAAATGTAATTTTATTATTAGACAAATTTATCATTAATTTATTACATGTTTTTAATTATTATTTATTATTCTTGAGATCCTGA